AACTAGTTTTGTCCAAGCATCCAACTCTACCTTGATGAAATGCATGCTTTGTACCAGAAACTTGTTTCATGGTTCTTCTCATGCTACAATGAGACAACCAAACACGACCAAAACAGAGATGAATTTTCAAAAATAAACTTTAAACCTGCACCCAAATGCAGCTTTTCCACCTAAAACCTAACCAAACCAAATCTGACATCTGCACTTGCAAATCTATTGAATACACTTGGGTTATATATAAGAAAGTATACACGTAAAATGTCCTAGACACACATTTATTATGTATTCATCTATCCACTATAAGAAGCTGAAAGAACACTTCTGTACTGTGCTTGTATATACAGAAACATTTAAATAACTTTAAAAATACTTTGGGCTTGATTTTTAGAAGCTTTGAGTATCTGTTCCGCCTATTAACTTTACTTGAGGGCATTCAACACTGGGAAAAAACAAGAAAACCAAGCCCAGTCAGTAGCTGATACACTTCCAGCTCATGTTTTTCATACATTATGACTACTAAATGTGTGATTTAAATAGTTAATGCATTAATTATTTCACACAGGAGAGCAAAGCTGTATGGCAGCTTCAGGATGGAGAAGGGCTTACGTGCCCTCCTACCTTGGTTTTCAGGAACTGGGACTGGGAATCTCGGTGCTGCTCCAGCTCATCCTGCACATGCTTGCAGAAAGCCACCGCGTACTGGCGCCTGTAGTGCGGGCTGAAGTTTTTGATGACGGCCTCTGTTTTTCCTGAAGCAGAAATAGAGATTTAATTGTATTTAATGTACATCAGCTCAGAAATTGTAATGCAGAACTGAAGCAGTTATCACCAGCGACTCAAAATACCACCCAAGAGTATCAAAGGGCACTTGCTGCACAGCAGATCAGGAAACCCTTGGAGATGCATTCAGCTGCTGTGATAACCAAGCGCAGAGGGAATTTGTCAGGGCCTTAACGATACAGAGAAAACACTGGGTTTTGGACATTGTTTCTCCTTCTAAGAGCAGGCAAAACATATCCCAAATCCATTTCTCCAAGAAAAGACGCTACCTGGTTCTCCCTAGGTGATACTGCCACAGAGCCGTGGGTGTTCGAGAGCTAGTAAGGTTTCCAAAGAAACATATACACAAGTGATACTGGCTAGTGTTTAGCCATATTAGCCAATTTTATCACATAATCAGATTTTAAAGCTGACTCAAAGCTCGTACAAAAGATGTTTTCTAAGCTTGGGCACTGCAGTTTCTTTGTTTTAATGTAAACAGATAGTCATGCTGCAATAAACACTCATCTTGTATTGTCTTGCTATGATCAAGACCTCATCAGTAGCAATAACAGCAATAAACACAGTGACAGTCTCATTTCTGGGAATCTTAAAGCAATTTACAAGTAATTAACTCATTAACCCTATCAAAGGAATAATAATGCTTTACAGACAGGGAAGTGCAGCTAAAAGTTAAAGCCATGTGCATGTATGTGACTCAAAGAGTCTACGGCAATGCAAAAACCAAAACCTGGACTATGATCTAGATAGCATCCAGACTGTCCTGGATACTGGAGAGATCCCTTTCTTCCTTGTATTAAGGAGCCCCATGACAAAGGGTTTTTTCTGAGCATACAACAGAGAAACATAATTTCACATCTCAAGCAATTCTGATGCTTTCAAAATTTTATTTTGTTCTGCTTGGGGGAAAAAAAAAATCAAATTTTCTGTGGAAGACAAAAAAATGGTAGATCCCAAACTGAGATTTCTTGAAGCCTTTACACACATGGTCTCCTAAACCTGGACTGGCATTCTTCACTCCTGAAGGGCCAAACAGGGGAACCAGCAAGAAACACTGTGGAAGTATAGGAAAAGATGAACCACCTGCATCCTATGATGATGCTCCCCAATTGACAAACTCCTCCCAGCCACCCACCAGCGCTACCACCAAAAGGGATTCACTGCGAGTTTTCGTGATGTTTCTTTATTTTATACAACAGGCTGCAAGTCTGCAGCAGCTATGATGAAATCAGAGACAGGTCTCAACAGATTTGCTGTTTCAAGCATATAAGCATAGTCCTTCTAAAGTAACCATGAAAAACTTCCTGGATTACTACTGATTTTATTGCCATTGCTCACCAAAAAATGGGGGTTTAAATGTCAGCGCAGTTCCCAGAATATTCATGCCTTTTTTCATCTTAAATACTTTTAAATATGGTTAAACAAAGAGAAAAGCCGTGGATCATTATGAGAGTAAGTACATGGGATTTCACAGGAGAAAACGCATGGGATACTCTGGTATAGAAGATGTTATGGTCCAAGATTTACTACTGCTGGCTACCTTATTTCCATTTAAAAAACCCAAATAAGTGTGGCTGAAGCTGCCATGGAAAAATACTAGTTTACAAAGGAGTTCGCAGAGATGGGCAATGGCAAAAGATTTTGTAAGGTGCTTATTTCAGGTCCAGCTCTGATTTGCTCCTAAGATGGGACATTACCAGGCTGTTAGAGGTAATTTCATCAATTCAGATAGCTGCAGTATTTAATTACTCTACAACCTCCTGATAATTATATCGCTGCAGTTACGTGGGCGTGCACACAAAAGAAAAAGCTATACATCAGCTCCTCTGCTTCTGCAATTTTATTTTCAGTTTGATGCACAGAATTTGACACATCTCTCAAGTCTAGGACAATATTGGCATGACCTTTCATTCCAGCTACTCCTGTGTAACCAGCTCTCCTTCTTAAGCATCAATGGGATCGCTGCCTTCAATTAAACTGAAAGCCCCACCTGCCCCACTCCTGCCCCTTTCCAGTCCCACACCACCGATGGGTTACAAACCTGCTGCCCCTTCAAGCCCTGCCTGGGTGCACGGAGGAGACGGCTTGGCCGACTGACGCGTTTGCAGAGTCATTACACAAACCTGGAGGGATGTCAGGAGGTCGGGTTAAGTTTTCAGGTACGTACGTTTTTCACCGATTTACTTGTGGGACCGCACCAGTTACAATCTGGACTCCAATCCTCCAGTTTGAAGAGACCAGATTTTTACTGAGACCTACCGATTATAGGATGTCCTTGCATATAATTGCAGGATACCGGTGCTGCTGAAGCAGAAGATCCCTGTCCATCTGACAGCCTTTTAAAAACTAGCCTGCTTTGGGCAGAGGCATAAACTTATTCTCCAAATAAGGACAAAGCTTCCCAAAGCCTTCTTTATAGCATTTTTTTCTTCTTCTGGTCCCAGCCGAGCAGTAGGATGTTGTTGGCCCCAGTCCCGGTGGAGTTTCCTGCTCAGGCCACTGCCAGGGTTTGCCCCTATTTTCCACTGCGGCTTTTTCTTTTCCAGCTTGCAGTGGCCTCTTAATCTGTTACAGAGGGCTCCGGGACACTGGACCTCACTTGACTACTGCCTGCATCCTGCAGTAAAAATTTGTAGAGGAAGTGGGACAAAGAACAAAATTCTGGTGTTGGGAAAAAAAACCCAACAATCGCAGGAAATACCTGCAATTTTGGCAAAGTCTTTCAATTATGGCTAAATCGGCTCGGGAGTGTGATTCTTCAGTGTCAACTTGTCTTAGATCAGCTTGAAGTATGATGACCAAAAAGAAAGGAACTATGCAATTCATAATATATATAAGTGAGAAATATAACATCAATATGATTTCTATATGCAGAATATGTTTACAATCAACCAAAACATGAATTGAGGAGCAAATGTTTCAGACTGTTTATTCCAGTCTTTATACTACTTGTTGCAAAAGATCTCTGTACTAAAAATACTACCCCCTCTTAAAATTAGAAGAAAAAGGGTTTTTAAGAAGTTGTGAGTGGCACTACACAAGGACCTGGCCTTGCACTGCTCAGCTCAACAGGAATTGCAATGCTACCTGCGGGTGGGAAGAGAAGTAGACAGACCCTTGATCCATTGTTCACCAATGGATCTTTAAACTCTTTTGGTTTACAGAAGATAAAAATATGCTATCTGAAAACAAACATGATGGAAACGGTCATGATTAATAGAAACTCTTCCCACGAAATGATAACATGGGGCAACCGGAGATAAAATACTCCAGGGCAGTTGAAAAATGAGTTCCCCTAATTCTTTTCCAAATTTAGTGTGGCTTGCTTAGTCAGAGCTGTTTATATGGAGCAAGGCCCACTTTCCCACTCGGCTGGTCTGGCAAAGGCACAGCTCCAGCCCAGATAAATGTGATCTGAAGCCCAGCAGCTAGATTGATGTTTACCCTGGGAGAAGACAAAATGTGATCATCTCCAGTAGCAGCCTGCATGCAACCAAAATTACCAACAGCAAAAGATGACAGTGATGGAGGTGGAAGGATTTCTGTCAAATTAAGGTGGCAAGGGTCTGCAAACACAGATGTTCCCCCTTTGTTGAGGGTTTAGATCCTGCTAAAGAATAAACTTTCCAAATGCTTCACGATGCATCTCCTCTTCTGCAAAACCACCCTTGCGCTTGATCACAAAAGTTTAGCATCAAGTTATGATACGTCTTTTATGACTAAAAAAAAATGTCATTGCACTGAGAAACAAGAAACATCTGCCAGTTGCCCCACTGGAAATCTGGAATCCCCCCCCAACTTGTTTCTTCCTGCTTGTCCACTGCCTCTGACCTTTTTAACTGTGCACCACCCGTGCTGGACACTTGTAAGTAACTCCAAGTCATCAGACCCACAGCATGTTCTCAAACACCCGACTTTTTATTTTGGGTTTCACTGCTTTTATTGAAATAAACTGATATCCAACGTTAAAAAATAAGGGCAGTCTTTGGCAAGTTCTCCCACAAATTTCTGCTGGTCTAGCTGGCTTTCAGCCAGGTTGGACGGCTATGTGCAGCCTGGCTAGCTCACCCTGCCATGCTCCTCCGCTCTCAACAATGTGTTACCAAGTATGGATGCAGGCCAGGAAAATTCAGAAAAAAAGGTCAGAAAGGTCAGAAAACAATAACTTCTCGGCTGGCATACAAGAGAGGCGTTGCTCACACTCGCCAGACTTCAGCCATTTGGAAGTTAGGAAGAGAAAGAGGTAAGGACTTGCCATAAAAGCAGTTATTCCACTTAAATATTAGTGTTTGGTAGCAAGATGACCCTTCCAAGGGTAGCAAGATGACCATGACCCTTCCTCTTCATAGCACGATTGCTTGCACTCAGCAGCTTTTGAATGGGGTTTTCAAAAAACACCACGATCATGATACAAATCTCTTTGAAGGTCTAGGGGATTTATCTTCTTAAACCATTTAAGCCCTTTGGAAAATATACTTTGTGCTCTGAGGGACATGAACTGCAAAAAGAGTAGATGATTTGCTGTATCAAAGCAAACCCTAGACAAAATAAAACCTAAAAGAAACAATAAGCATTGTGCATGCTGAATGCCAGTACACCCAGCACTTCAAACCAGTGTGAAGTATTGAGACAGAACAGGAACGAATGACTTTGTCTTTGTATTTCTTCCACAAGGCCACAAGCAAAGCCGTCAGAAGTCAATAGAAAAAGACCAGCTGATCATACCCACATGGTGCTTCACCAGCCAGGAGTGCAACCCACAACCAGGGACATGCTTTTAAACTATACCTACTGCGTGCCTTAACGTTACTCAGCAAATTCAGTGCCGAGCTTTAAAATTACTACTATCCATCCATCCATCTATCCATCTAGATATATAATCTTATTCTCATAGCCCATCAGGGTAGCAGCAAGATGAGTGAACAAAATAATTTCAGTATTCAGCTCATGGGTTGACTTTCATCCCAAGTCCAAGATAAACACAACCTGTGATTGAGATAAACATCTAAAATTGTAGATGCTCTACTTGAGCCCTGTGAATCGGCAAAGCTGGATTTCAGTATTGGCAGCTCTGAAATGGGCTGGATGCTTGCCATGAAGAGAAAGAAGCGGCCTCTGCTGCTTCTGCTGCAATACAGTGCATAAAAGCTGCTCTTCCTGAATTCACCCGTTCATTTCAAACATCATTATCACTTATTAAATGCATCTGGTAACCAGAAAACCTGTAAAAGCAATTCTCTTTGGCATATCCTCTCTAACAGTGCCCACCACCTCCCAGTGCTATGGGACATGTAATGGTGCAGCGGAAATTACCAGTAATTCTCTCTTTCCTACAGTTTTCTTTCTTGTGCGGTACTTATAGTACTGCCCAGAAACTGTTTAAATCCAAGTGCTCCCAGGCTTTATCCTACACATACAGGGAGGCAATATAAAATACTCTCTTTGTTGTTGAAAGCATAGCTCAGTTTGATCTTTATTTATAGAAACAGTATTTCAATTATTTGTGAGTCATGACTTAGTATCTGTTATGAAAAAAGGGATGACAGACACAAATCCCATGTTCTGATTTGGCTGAATCATGTCTCCACAGGTTTGTTTGCACTCACTCAGCCAAAGCAAGAAGCTCTCTGGTGGAGCCGTCCCTTTTCCCCATGCAGACACACTGAAAAGCGTGGTTTGCACCTGATAAAATATTGAAACCGATTATTTACTCTCAGCCTTGTTTTGCATTAATGGAGACTACTCTCATTAAAAACTTACAATGCTGTAACTACACTGGGGTGCACACACGCCCAAATTATCCATCTGCAATGTGGACACAGAATTGCACTGGTAAAATTCCAGTTAGTCACCCAAAACTCCATCCATGGGAGATAATAATATCCACCACACCTCAGATCATCGTCTTCCTAAATCTCAGCATATAAGTACTTCTTGGGTGCTTAGCCCATCTTCTCTATAGGATGAGTGGGAAAGTAGATGCTGTCTTGTGAAAAAATCAGATTTCTTAGCAAGTTTGCTAGCTGAAACTGTGGGTGTGAAATTTGTGCTCCACCAGAAGCAAAGCTTCTCTCTCAGGGCAAGCTAAACAAACACGTTTGTAAGTTCATGTAAACTTGATCCACAGCAAAGGAGGAGCCAAAAATAACAGGCTCTGTTCCAGCCTTGCATACCTCCCTTTCTACAATTTTACTCAAGTACTTAGCTCTTCCTCAAGTACTCCGCTAAATGAGACTAAATTTTATACTGAGCTGCACAATTATCCCATATATTTCAATAGGTTTATATATCTATAATGTTCTTCTCGGGCAACTTCATGAGCATCTCGTATTTCAGAGAGAGTAGACAGACCTGAGTGAGACAGACCTCATACACTCTAAAAAGAAGGCTTGTTTTCTTAAGAGTAGCTTGTGATTTAACCATGGATGCTGCTATTTTAAATTAATTCTGAATACTGCCTCATTATGAAAAAATACAGAGCAAAATACAGAGCACTAATCCTGCTTAAACACAGCCCGTCTCTTGGGTCAAACTCAGAGACTCATGCAGGTTTCCTTTCCCCTTTGCCCTTCCCTCCCAGACCACGATCAAGAAAACTCTTCTCGGGAAATGCCGACAGGACTATCACACCTTTCATCTACGGTTAACCATCATTATCCTAACAGCACACCTTCCACGCCTGCACAAGCATCTGCTCTAACTTGAAACTCTCTGGAGGATATCTCAATTGCAATCACGTTATTTCCATGCTATGTCCTTCACAAGAAGCACGCAATTCCCTCCGACTGCACGACATGTTGCCAGGGTATTTTATTTGAGACCAGCTGCTGTTAGGATGAAAATGCCCAGGGAAACGTATTTTAGCATTTTTAGCAATTGCAAAGCAACAGGCTGGAGTGGCACACATCTCGTGCCCACTTGAAATGGAGAAGCAGCCTCCATCGGGTACATCTACTGCTTCAGTACGTGCACTTCACAGACACATGCCAGCCCTGGGACACCACTCCCTCCAGCTTCTTCACACCTTCTCCCATACATGTGTCACCTCTCGTGCTGGGGGAAACGGATGGACAACCTCTCCGGCCAGAGACGGGTCCTGCACAAGCAGCTCCACCAGCATTGCAGAGGGGAGAAGCAGTAAACGTCAGGAAACCGTTAGCAGTAGGGCTGGGGCAGGGGATGAGGAAAACAATGGGAAGGATTTGAATTTTAACCTTAAAACACCTGAATGACAACCGTTGAGATCAGGCACTCCGGTATTGAACAGCGGGGCCCACCAGCCGGCAGCTCTGCAACACTCCCACTGCCGAATCATTATTTAGAGGAGAAACAAGATTTCACGAGTTGCCTTTGCACTTCTGTCAGATTAAAAAAAATCCTAATACTCACGAATTACATAAAGGCCAAAGCTTGTGGTTAATCAAGCAGAAACAAGCCAAATGCAAGCCAAGGGTTTGATTAACACTGTGTCAGATAAGCTTATCCTTAAGGCTGCTGAAATTTATCCTTTATAGGTAATGGGGTTAGAAGCAGCAAGGCTCTGTCTAGAAACAATTACTCACAGTCAAATTCAACAAGAATAAGGTCTGACAATCCTTTATTTATAAGCTTATTTCACAGCACCAGAAGAACTAGGGATTTAATAAAACAAATGAACCCCATCTAGTTCCTGGGGGCCACGAGAAGTTAAACTATGCTCTGTATTAAGTTGATTTGGTGAAGGTCAATGGTTTTCAAGTTGGGTTTTTTTTCAACTCCACAAGCCACAGGCTGAACCACTAATGGGGGAATGGACACCAAGCATGTCTTGAGCAGCTTTCTCCAGTCTGGATCTCAGCATCACGTTACACATCATGGTAGGTCATACAAGAATGTTTCTTAGGAACATTTAAGCAGCTTTCCAAAAAGGTAAGCCAATGCCACATCACTCTTTAAATCAGGATGATGTATTCTCTCTTCCCTCCCTTTCAGGTGACAGGCGTCGTAGCCAGTTACTTCACTGCCCGACCAGCTGCAAGTCGAAATAACGAAAACCATTCTCATGTCGGAGATACAGATAACAGAAATAACCATCTTCACAAAATACTCACTGACGGATTTTCCGAATATATGGATATTTATACAGACACACACTCCTGCACAAGATTAATTCTGTGCAATGCCTGGAGTGTGTTCATATAGATCCAGGAGATATTTTTACTCATTTCTTTTTTCTGAATTATTTTGCCAAAATTATGCCATACTAGACAGGTCTATTACAGAATTACTCAAAGGCGTATATGACACTGGACATCAGTATGAGTATACACACACGTCTTTCCATGCAGAGCCTTATTTATGCTGAGGTTACCTTATGTTAGTCTTAAAGTTCCCTTTACTCCCTTTACATTGTAACTTGTTTCACCACCAGTTTAGTGTAAGTCAACCCAAACAGACTTCTCAAGAGTACCAGGTTTCCCCTGAAGGCCTCACTTTTTAAGCACTGTAGCAGAAGGCCGTTATCCCATGGTAATATTTTATTCCATTTCTCTTCAACAAGACACAAACCCCACAAAATGGAAAAGGGCTACGTGTTGGTAAGAAAATGAGACTAAGGGTACCATCAGGTCCCCTTTCCTTGCAATTTTTCTCACCGAATCGTAAGGCATTTGGTTCTTTTTTGGCTCCCATATACACGGAAAATGAGTAGAAGTCATGAATTGCAAAGGACAATATTTCAGCTAGCCTATGTGCACAAGAAGGTTAAAAACAAGATTAATCTCTGAAATAAAGTAAACAGAGGCCTCAAAGTACAGGCATTTATTTTAATGGCTTTCCAACACCACCGCCACATCTCTTAATTTTATCACAGGAAATCATTTCAGCCTCAGAGCTCCTCCTTGCCATTTTAAACCCCAAAAGACCAGCTGGGTAAATACACAGTTTTTAACCCAAACAACTAGCACCAGTCAGATTTTTGAAGCACTGATCTATAGCCCAAGGCCATACACAAGTCACTGGTATGCCAGTTGGGACCATGTTCCAATTTAATCTCTTTTTTCAGCTTGCACCAACATCGCCTTGCCTTGGTCCTCTGCAGGGCAGCAGCTGCGGAAGGACGTTTGGAAGGGGACTGCAAGGAACACACGCATCTTCTCCCTGGGAAGGGTGCTTTAGAGGCGCAGTCTCAGAGACGGTCTCCTTCCCATTTCCAGCTTATGAGCTTGCAAAAGCCTTTTGCTCTTGCAATCTCTCAGGCAACCTCCTCCTGTGGTCTTTTGACACGTTGCTATCTTGGTAAATATGTATTATTAAAATTGGATCTCTGCTACAGCATCCCAGAAAGTTCTTTTAAGTCAAACCCACAGTGATACTTGTGCTGCAAACTTTATTAAGCAGAGAGGGAAAAATAACAGATATGTATTTCACATAGCAAAGGAGACAGAAGTATTTATCCCTGTTACTGACAATGTAGGTCTTCATAGGGATAAAGAGACAACTCTTTGTGAAAACCAAGAACCAATTTTACTGCTCTTCCCCCTTTGTTAAAAAGGACAAACAAATTAAAAAATATATATAATTAAGCTTCTAATAAAACTTTATATTACAGGAAGGAGAATATGTAAAATGCAGTTCACACCCCAAGGAATTTTTTTACTGCACCTCCCACTTTACATTAAGCTTGGACAACAAAAATGGGAAAATATTTCATTTGCAGCGCATTTTTAGTCATTTGCTTCAGGTTCTCATTAATTTCATGCTATAGTTCTGCAAGATGAATGCAAGGAAATTTAACTGTTGTCACAGCAAGATAGTATTGGGGAGAGGATGGGAGGACCCACTGTAAAAACCTAGAAGTTTGAGTGAGGCATCATTTCAAAATCTCTTTAATATATCATATATTTTGTTGTTATAAAGCATGGTGATACAATGGGATCTCTTTCTGACACCACATGGACTGCGTTGGCCATAAAGATGCTACAGTAGGAATTGTTCAGGGCTGACACAACCTACAAGACAAAAATGTTTTTTCACAGCACTACACGGTAGGGTGCAATGTCATGATTCCAGCAGACAGTCTGCGTGCTTGCCCTGGAAAGCCAGCATCAGTCACTATGACTTTGAGTAACCTGCTTTGCATATGTATTAAAAATACTGAAAATATATTTCCATCATATCATCCATCCATATGTACACCCAGCAGCTGCAGAACAGCAACCAGTGTGGACTAGTGGTTTTAAGCTAGGAAAATTAATCAGTAGACAAATGTTTCTTAGTTCTGGCATTTCTAAATGATTTTTCCTAATATATGGTTAATCTTTCTATTCCTTAGCTAAGCCAAACTAGACAAATTCTCCTTGCCGATAGTCTGTTCTCACATTCAGAAAAAAAAGATAATATCCTTAAACATGTTTTCTAAATCTTTAGAAATAAATGGATTAAAAAATTATTTCATTCACGCTGTGCAAGAAATACTTCCAAGCATTACAGGGTCTATATTCATGCAACTAAAAGTCTCCCCTTTTACAAACAAACCCTTTTCTACTTCTCTGTAGATGATAATATCTCCCAGCCAGCAAAACCACACTGTTCACTGAATTTTTAATTCTGCAGAAGAGACAGGAGGAAGTGTTGGTGCCTCATCCTGTGGGGAAGGAGGTTCCTTCCCATGGCTGCAAAAAAGCATCAATTAAGATTAAGAGTCTAGGAAAAAAGCGTATAATTATTACATGAATCTGTTCACCAAACCCCGTGTAAACCAGTCTCTTTTTCTGTGAATATTACAGGTGGGGAAGGGAAACTACAGCTCTGCGATGCAGCAGATAAGCTTCATAATTCAAGTTAGTTGAGAAACACCACACTGCTTATTACCATGGTACCAGAGCATTAGTCGCCCAGATCTGGGGTTCTTCAAAGCTACAGAAGTGTCTGCTTTGACACGAGGGGAGGAAGATGCACTGATGCTCAGCTGAAAACTGAGACCTCGACTGAGTCTCCTCTCACCCTTCAAAACAATCTTGGTCTGAATGACTATGTCTGGTTTTCTCACTTACGCTTTACTCAGACTCTACTATAGCAGCTGCTACTACCCGAAAGTCCCAGTTTGGGTTAGAACGCAGCCTTTTGCTCTCCTCCAGCTGTGAAATGGGTGCAAAGGAAACAGAATTGGCTGCAACGGAGCAAAGGTGGTCTTCCCTTCCCTCGCAAAACCAATGCGCCCGCTCCAAAAGCCCCTGCTAAATTTAGTCCAGGGTCAATCCATGAGCAGAAGCAGAGAAAATGAGGCAAAAGGGCGTGAAAAGAAAACAAAGGGGAACAAACAGAAGACGGGAGACGGCTCTCTGGCTGCCTGGGGCTTCTCAACATGGGAGACCTGCCAGCGGCCTCCTTTTCCCTCTTTTCTCCCATCCAAAGTTGAGCAAGGCCATACTCAAGATCCCAGTATTTCCAAAGCACTGTAAAAGAAGGAAACAAAGTGATCCAAACATTTTTGCTGGTTTTTTGCAAAGCTGAAAGGACCCATTAAGCTTCATTAATCATTCCTTACTTGGCAGAGTTTATGCCTTTGATTCTTCTGAATTAAAGTTGGGACCTGAATAATAAAAGTATACCTTCTGCTAGCAAATTAGAATTAATTCCGTAAATTTTATCCTGAAAAGAGTTCAAGTAAAAGCAAAACAATCCCTAACTTTCTGCAATTGCAGCAGTATCACAAATGAAGGACTGCCTTCGCGTTCACCAGGTCTGCTCTTCCTACAGCCAGACAGTGCCAGCAATCTAGATCACCAGAGGTAGAAGAAATGCTCCCAGATCACAAGGCCATAGGTTAGGGGAATTTAAGGAAAAAAAAGGAAAAAGAAGAACTGTGTTCGTAAAGAATTTGATGTAAATGTAACAGAGGACACATACAAAGCAAGACCTTTATCTTACAGTCACCCCTGCACAAATGCTGGGGTTTAAAGTCTAATTACTCTTTGTCCCAGCAAACTGTTGAAAAGTATTTATTTTCTTTTTTAGACTTCTATTTTTAGCCGTAATTCAGAGAAACGCCAGAGCCCCACTGAGTGTTTGACTGCCACTCCCAGACAGGCACAGCTACAGTGTTGCTTGCTGTGACGGGAAGGTGGTGGCACACAACTCCACAGGTGGAGCCTCAAAGTCGTGTTTCCTCCATGGAGCTGGTTTCACTAAAGCCCACTTATATATGGTGGAATCAAGCTCAGAGAGGTTACAGTCCAGCCACTTGACAGTCCGCCAAGTGTTGTACATTATTCTTCTTCCGCCTGGATGAGTTTCAGTTCCTCAAGCACTCATGAAAGCATCACTAAGAAGACAATAGGGTTAGTGCTGGTGTTTGTTTTTTCCATTTCTAAGAAGACTTCCCGGGAAGAAGCGCCAGTCAGCTATTGTGTCTCTCACTAAACGTGCGTTTGAGTCTCCTCAGCCGCTCAGCTCTTCCGCCTCAATGTTTCAATGCTCCTTCCTTTTTGAAAAAAATAGATAAGTTGCCTCATTTCCTCTCCATTTATCTTTCACGTTCAGAAGGGCTTGTGACAACACAACACAACTTGAAAGGAAAAAAACAAATCAAAACCACCTTCTTCCAGCGCTGTGTTTGTACAGTAGGACCACGTGAGCTTCTGGGCTTGGAAAAACAGCCGGACAACTTATTATTAAGAAAAGGAAATTTGTTCCCGAGAATTTATTTGGAAACAGTTTGGTGAGAGCTCTCCTGCCGGTTCACAGTAACC